AAGTGATGGTCAAAGTTGTCACAGTGAAATTTAATATCTTTCTTTTGTTTCACTCCTACAGGTTATCATGTGACTTTTGCTTGTAAGAGATGTTTGAAATGTGAATTTAATACTGCTGAAAATGACTTTAGTAAAAGTAAAATTACTTCATCTGAAAATAAAAAAGTACAAGTACACAACAGTTGTTATCCTGCCCCCGGTTAAAAGAAAGTTTGTGACACTCAGATGCACCAGAGGTACAGACGAAGGTAAACAATAGCATCCCAGAAGAGGAGAAACACCTGAAATCCCAGAGCCTTTGATGATTGCTCCCATTACCATGACAGACAAGAACAAACCTGAATGGAGTCACTAGTATGTTTTCAGTGACAGCGGCACACTGCTGAGTGAGGTCTGTTTGCTCCTCTGTATGTCCTGTGATTACCTTCTGTGTGTGTGTGTGTGTGTGTGTGTGTGTGTGTGTGTGTGTTCTCAGGTGCGAGCAGCCTCTCCCCCATGTTGGCCACTGTGTGTGGTCGAGATCCTCCAGCTTCTCTCCACTCAACAGGCGACTCCATGTTCATCCACTTCTCCTCAGACAGCAGCATTAGTGGCCGAGGCTTCAACGCCTCCTACTCCAGAGGTATTACAGCAGCGGCAAATGAAACGTCTCAGTACTCTAACCATAAAACTCCAGAGCTGCCAGGAAGCGTCAGTCAGATCAGGAGCAGCATTGTTTTGGTTGGAGGTCTGTCCAACTGTGTGGACTGACAAACTAATCTACAAATCAGGAGGAATTTACTGGTCCTGGCCAAAACAGTGCGACACATAACCCCCTCTTAAGAGCTACCTTTACACTGAATATTTTGTCCAAGATAAAACACATTCATCAGTCAGCTGTAGAGGTGCCTGGAGGTCGATTTAAGTACCTTTGGAAAAAAAAAGCCAGACCAGTGTTTCTACTTCCAGGTGGTGTCTTTGTATTTACCATACAGGCATGACAGTGGCAGTCGTCTTCTCATCTACCTCTAAGCAAGAGAGCAAATAGGGGTATTTAGCATTTAAACAGATAATATGTGGCTTAACAAATGAAATGTGTGATGAGGATTATTATTAAATCAAGCTTTAGTTGAGTATCTTGCCTTCTACATCACCAGTGTCCAACATGTTTGTACACCAGGGTCCCAATTATCTTTCAAGCTATGTGTAGCATAAGTGAGACTCCAGGGCTTCATCCTTCCTCGACTCCTCGACTCCTTGACTCCTCTGTCCTCCATCACTTGACCAGGAAATCGATTGAGGACGTCTTGATTTGTTAAATGTGCTGGGAGGAGTCGAGGAGAGAGGAGGCGTTCAGAGGAGAGGGAAGAGAGGATACATGAGTGCAGCCTTAGCAGAGGTGTTTTACCCCCTGATTGGATATCAGTTATTGATTGGACAGCTGATTGGACTGATCTGATACATCAGTTTCGTACAGAGTGAAGACGGATAAGAGATTAAACTCAGTGTGTCACTGACAAGTTTGATATTTGATTTGTTTTCTGATTCATCAAGTTCAAAATCTGTCTGTCTGTCATTTCCATTCAGTCACAATCAGGCTGATCATTCCTGAGCAACATTTTAATTTTCCCTGAAACATTTGACATATTAAATTATTTCCAGTGTTCAAAGACAAATGATCATATTCCTGGGTTATTAAATGATGAACTCACAATCAGAATATCAATAAATACAGATGTAAATAATGAATGAATCCTATAAAGACACTGTGTGACTCTGAGCAGGACAGATTATAAATACAGAACGCAGGTTGTTGATCACGTGCAGCTGATTGTTAGAGAGAGACGAAACACTGCTGCTCTGTTAGTGAGAACTGGATCATTATGTGTACGTAACATTCTGTGTGTGCAGACACAGACAGCTGTTGATAAAGCCTCCTGACAGCTGATCCAGCTGTGATCAGCTGCTGCCGCCGTCATCACAAACGGATGTCGCTTCACGTGACTCTTCAGAGGAAGAGACGTCTCATTTGTCTTGAGACATATTTCCTTGTTTCTTCTCCCCTCGTGATTTGGAGATATTGAAGATATCAGCAGTGCTCAGATGTGTGAAGGCTGTGCCCCCCAGTGGTTGAACAGTGCAAAAGGAACGGTGTAAGCTGGGACTCCTGGAGCCATATTCACAAACACTCCGGGAATACTAAGTCAGTGATTTAAGAAAACCCTCAGAGCAACTGTGAACAATAAGGGACAGAGAGTGACCTTAGTGAGGAGGTGTGGTTGGTATGACTCAGTCTTTTAACAGATGTGACTGGTTGTCCTTTTGAGAGCCTACGAGCTGAGGACACCCGGTGTGGAAATGAAGTGATGTGCGTCACAATGTGAGACTGTGAAAGTGCTGTCATTGTTTGCTGACAGACCCCAGTCATCACTGCTGCACAGTTGCCAGATATCTTAATGTTGTGATGGCTTTCATTTCTGGAGTTATGTTATTATGTGTTGGGTGGGAGATTGGATCAGTCCTGAATGAGACTGACGACAAACATTATCCCTGCAACATCTTATTGGTACAGTTTCATTGGCTCGCTGTCATCCAGTGTTTGGAGAATATTCTCCGGCCTCTTTGTCTTTCTGCCATATTCTGCTTAAGCCTCTTAAAAGTCCTCCTCCCTGCTCCAAACACTTTCTCACCCACCTGTCAGTATGGACCAACATCTCTGAGGAATGTTTCCAGCACCTTGTTGAACCTGTGACACCAAGAATTAAAAAGGAGGGCCAAGCTTTTACCAGCAAGGTGTACCTAATAAAGTGGCTGCTGAGTGTATTGTAAATGGAGAGTGATAAAAACATAACTCTCATTTAACTGGAGAGAGTTGTTGGTCATCCAGTCTTTAAATCAGTCCATTAGACATTCAGCGCTGGACCTTTGTGCCCATGTCTTATCCCTGTCACGCTCTCCTGCTGCTAACACCACGCAACGGTGCTAATCATGTTAACATGATAATAATCCTAGTACTTGTCTTTTAAGGTTGTGGTGGCCTGCTGCATGTGGACAGGGGCGTGCTGAACAGTCCCCGCTACCCCCAGAACTACCTGCCTGGTCTGGACTGTAGCTGGCATGTCATGGTGACACCTGGCTTTAAGGTTTCTGTCAGCTTCCAGAGCCCCTTCCAGATTCAGGGCTATGGATCTGGATGCAGCACAGGAGACTACCTGGAGGTAAACAACGCAGGGATGGCAAAGTCATGTCTGATTGATTCTTCTGTTACACAAGATATTTGCAAGTATTGATTATAGTAATAAAACATTTGTCCAACCAAAAATAACCCTTCCATTTCTATTGTTTCTGTTGTAAAACACTCAGGTTCAACAACTTTATTCCTTCGTTTTTTATGTATTTTTCTTGTCTGAGGTTTTGGATCCATTCATCTCTTACTCACAGTAATTATTTCCTCACTGCTTTCTCCACAGCTCAGGAACGGTCCTGATGGTTCATCTCCACTACTGGGGGGACGTCTCTGTGGTTCAAGTCCGCCCTCCCTCCTCCAGACCACTGACAACAACCTCTTTATACACTTTGTATCTGATGCCAGCAATGAGGCGACTGGCTTCAAGCTGACCTTTGAGGCCCACAGTCAGGGTATGACCACCACTCTTATTTCTGTTTTCTCTGGGTCGTTCCAAAACCGGATCCTACCCACTCCCGCTCCGTCTCAGAGTGTCACTCCATTTGTTTCACCTTAACAGCTGAATGACGCTCCCTGCATCAAGGTGTAGGGTGTCAGCGACACACTTCCCTCTGCAGTTGTCATTATGTTTGGAAACCATGGAGAAAAGTCTGATTACAACTTCGGTTGTGAATATTATCCTGATGTTATTAAAGTAAATAGCCTAAATGAATCGATAAATAAGTAAAAAAGATAAATACATAAATAATACATAAAAGGGGATAAAACTTATCCTTGAGATTCACTGGTGACATTTCTTATCTTTTACTTTTGTTAACATCTTCTTATTTTTCGCTCTGATGTTTAGAAGCTGCTCCTTTTTGCAGCAGTCACACTTTACTGTAAAATAAACCCAACTACGGTTTTATAGAGACGAAAGAGGTGTAGATTAGATCTAGAGATAATGTGGCATTTAAGATGTTAACGTCTCTATGACAATATTAAATGCTGAACGGTTTATATTCCTCTGGGTAGTCATGTGGAACTTTATTTGTACGGAGCGTCTTCCATGACAAACACAGTTCAGTCAGGACCACTTTAGTCAAATAAAACTTTATTTCCATTTGCAGTATTAGATTGGGCAGCATGGCTCTGTTCTGGGGCCTCTCTGCCTTTCCACACGCCTATGTGGAAGGCCTAGGGCGGAGAGAGCACACCTCCCTGCCCCTCCACATGCATCTATGGAAAGCCTGAGGCAGGGAGAGCAGCAGCAAAGACCCCGCGGGAACAGAACAGAGCAGCATCAATGACAAACAGAAATGACATTGATAAGTCAGACACAGCATGAAAAGGAGGAGCTGGGGTGGAGGCAGGTTGCAAAGCAGCTTGCAGAGGAAGCAGCAACAGTAGGCAGGTCAGAGCAGTTTAAATAGGGCGCCATGGTTGCAGAGATAGGAATCATCTGATCGATCAGCTGGAGATCAGCTGATGTAGCTGGGATGTGAGCTGAGCTTGACATCGCGTCCTGACTGAACTAACGCTGTGCTGAATTTGTAGATTAGATTTGAAATTCCAGAGGGGAGGTTTTCACCATGAGCCCCTTCGGGTTTCTCTAATGCACAATCCCTGCCATGTATATTTTTATATACTTGTTGTTATCACATCTTGTGTGCAAACAACATTTAATTCAATACTTGCTATCACACATGTGAGGAGAAGGACTGAAATGAGTAATGCAGGTCTGTTCCAAAGTGATCCGACATAATGTTATTGTCTCTCTGTTTGTGCAGCGTGTGGAGGCTTCATTGAGTTGAATGATAATGATCCTCCAGGATATGTCACTTCGCCTAACTACCCTCAGAACTACCCCCAGAACACTGACTGTATCTGGGTCATAACTGTGCCCAATGGAGAAGCTGTCCAAATTGACTTTGAGGATGAATTCTACATCGAGCCCACAGCCAGGTACAGCTGCTGCTCTCTCCTCAGGCTTGTTTGGTTATTTTACACCGCTCAGATTTAGTGTATGGTTAGTGCGCCTTGTTTTTACTGCACAGTATTTGGAACCAAACTGTCCTTTTCATTCACTTTGCTTTTCTTTTCTAAAGTTTCATGATTTTCCCTGATTTATTGATAGATGCAGTGAGATTCATTTGTACTCCTCATCCCCTGAAAGAAACTGATCATCAGTTTGATTTAAGCACAACCTGTGTTCCTACAAATAAACTGCAATTAAATTCTTTTGATGTCTTGACAGTTCATTGGCTCGTGGGGTTGTGAGAGTTTGGAGACGTAAAATAGACCCGACATTGTTGGAGGAACCTTCTTACTAAACCTGAACTTTCATATTCTGTCATCTTCTAGCAATGCTTCAAGAAATGTTTTCCTTTATGTCTCAGCTGTGTGTATGACTACTTGGAGCTGCGTGATGGCTCGACTTCCAACAGTGATTTAATCTCCCGCCTCTGTGGAAACACCCGACCCTCTACCCAACATTCAACTGGCTCCTCCATGCTGCTCAGATTTCGCACTGACACCAGTGTCACGCACAAAGGCTTCAAGGCTAAGTACTCCATAGGTAGGCAAACCAAAGGTCAAGACCACTGTGGCCTTAAAACCGTCTCGTTCTCATGAATGCAATATTTAATAACACCTTATGGGAATATCTTCAAATTTGACACAGACTTTTGTTTTTCAAAGGTCAAAACAAAACATGTTTTTGAGCAAAACTCAAGAATTCATTCACTAATTATGACAAAATTTCACACAAATGTCTAACAGGATGAAATAATGAAGGTCAAAAGGTCAAAGGTCAGCTTGACTGTGACATCATCATGTTTTAACGTCATATCTCAGGAACAGAAGGGGAGACATTTGGTCAGATACTGAATTGGTGACTCTAATCTTGAACCTGTGCTGATTGTATAGATCTTCTGTGTGTGAAGCATCCATGTTTTCACTGACATGGATGGA